AGCAATTAATAAAATTAGACCAGCTATCAAAGGAAATAAGACATGCAGCCAATCCGGACCGCTTGAAGCCAATTCAAGGGCGTGCACAATATTTGCCAAACGATGTCTTCGGGATGGAACCATTGCGAGCACATTAAATGCATCTTGTGCCTCGTCAAGATAGACCAAGGGGATTTCTTGGAAGTAGTCGAACATCCGCGTGCGATGCCCGGAAGTGAACCTCCTGACCGCCTTGGCGCTGACTCGACGATATGCTCGATTCCGCACGAAAACTAGTACTAAGGAGTACATCCCATTGGTGAGTGGGCGGTCCGCTTGCTGTTGACGTGCGGACCTTTCGCGAGTAGCCGTATTTGCAATGGCACAAACAGTTTTGGGATGTGCGTGGCTACCTCCTTGCGATGTCAGGCGAACAACTTTGTGGTTAATTTTAACCCAAGCAGGTTTTGTCCAAATCGCAAACATGGCCCGAACTCGGAATACAACATGTATTTGATTATGCGATCTATAATGAAGAAGATTCGGATCACCTGCAACGACAATATCCGATCAAATTGTACGTACGATTCCAAGATAATTTGAGTAGTTGGAGGTTTGGTGCATGTGGCCACAGGAAATTCGAACTACCTTCATTCGAAATTTTGTGACTACCATGGCCAGCGGGATGAGGACCAAGGAAAACACACCTTCCATCGAAGAGGCCGCCGACGCTGCTGGTCAAGTCGTTGCCCCGCAACCTACGTCGCTGACCGCGCACGTGCTTATCAACTATCGGTGGGTCTTTGTCTGCTTCTTCCTGTTGCCGTTGTCGTTTTTTTACGATATTTGGTACTACCTGCGCAACAAAGTCATCTTCTACGCCAACTCTGCACCGACCAAGCACACTGAGCGCGTTCGGCAGGTTCAGGAGCAAGTAAGAGCGCGTCCCATACGTACTCACGAACGTCCCTAACCATTCCCAGGTGCTCAAGTGGAACAAGGATGGAAGGAAGGCACCCATGTGCACGGCTCGTCCCGGTTGGCAAAACATTTCATACCGACGTGGCTTGTACAAAAAGACACTGTCCAACATCAAAATCAACATGATGGACGTGCTGAAAGTCGACACTGCGGCCAAGGTACGATGCTTCACGTTGAACGAACACCTCATGGCACGCATCCCAGTCGGTGTGGGTCGAGCCCCTCGTGACAATGGGGCAGCTGTCGGCCACGTTGAGCCCACTGGGTTGGTGCCTTGCGATTGTTCCCGAGTTGGACGACTTGACTGTGGGTACGATATGTCGACGTGTTCCTGCCGTTGACATGCTCGTGCGCCAACACAACGCTAGGCGGGTTGGTCATGGGAACCGGCATCGAAACGTCGTCGCATCGATATGGTCTCTTCCAGCACATTTGCACGTCGTACGAGTTGGTCCTCGCCGATGGGTCGGTCGTCACGTGCTCCAAGGTCCGCTTGATCCTTCCACTCGTACTCTGTGCAATTACTTCCGATTCGAATCGTAGGATGTCAACCCCGACCTGTTTTACGCCGTTCCATGGTCCTACGGAACGCTAGGCTTCCTCACGGCCGTGGAAATTCAAATTGTGCCGACCAAGCAGTACGTGCGACATTTCGATGCATCCCGTTCGACTGCCTCGATAGGTTTGTCAAGCTCGAGTACCATCCCGTGTCGTCTCTCGACGAGGCCTGCCACGTGTTTGAGTCGGCTTCCAAGGACACTGAAGCGAACCACTTTGTGGAAGCGCTCATGTTCACGTTGAACAAGGGGGTGGTCATGACGGGGTCCATGGTGAACCAAGTCGACTCGACCAAGGTACCGTTCGCCATCCCCCGACCCACTTGACCATCGACGCCAGGTGAACGCGATTGGGACGTGGCACAAGCCGTGGTTCTTCAAACACGTCGAAGCAAAGTTCGACCAGCGTGCCGCGGATCGCGTCGAGTATATCCCGCTGCGCGACTACTTTCACCGGCACTCGCGCAGCATCTTTTGGGAGATTCAGGACATCATTCCGTTTGGCAACCACGTCGTGTTTCGATATCTCCTCGGGTGGCTTGTCCCGCCCAAGGTGTCGCTGCTCAAGTTGACGCAGAGCGACGCGATCAAGCAACTGTACGACAACCATCACTTCATCCAGGACATGTTGGTTCCCATGACGCGTCTCAAGGAAGCGCTAAAAGTGTTTCACCGCGAAGTTCAAGTACACGCGTCAGCCAGCCATTCCATCCTGGGACGTCACGTTGTGGTAGGTGTATCCGTTGTGGCTGTGCCCGTTTGTGCTGCCGTCCCGACCGGGCATGCTCCAAACGAACGCGGCCGGGGACACCTTATTTGTCGACATTGGGGCATATGGAGTCCCGCACGTTGCCAACTTTCACCCGGTGCACACGACCCGCCGCATCGAAGCGTTTGTGCGCGACAACGACGGGTGCGCGATGATCCCTCGCTTTGAATGCCGTGTTTGCAACTGGGCGTTCTAGGTTCCAAATGATGTATGCCGATTCGTACATGACAGAAGACGAGTTTGAGTCGATGTTTGACCATTCGTTGTACAACAAGATGCGGACCAAGTACAATTGCGACGGCGCGTTTCCCCGGGTGTTTGGAAAGGTATCTCGCGCCGTCCGCGACTAAAACGGCGCTGTCAAGCGATGATATTGTAAAGACATGCGACGCCTAGTGCGACGGACGCGTGAGGCTAAAGTACAATGCGTACGCGCGGCTGAGCCCGTCGTCCATCGCGCAGTCTTGGAGTTTCTTGCAAGCATCCCGGGCCGACATGACACTAGAGTTGGCCACGAGCAGCGACGTCCACGCATTCGTGGAGGGCAGGTCCAATTTCGACAGCACTTCGTTCCATTCTTCGACCACGAAGAAGCTGGGCCGCGAGTACTCGAGCACTGGCGACACAGGCAGCATTTGAATGCCATGGATGCATTCCCGATTTGCGCTGAACCATGTCGTGTAGTCGCACTTGTTCTCAAACAGAATGCCAGACACCTTGTTTGGACGGAACGCTGGCGGATGCGTCACGTTCGAGTGGGACATAAAAAAGTACGTGCGATGGGCCAACGATGCCAGTTTCAGCATGACGCGGCTCACGTCGCGCAGGCTACCGCGAGTCGATTCATGAGAGAGATCGTGTGGGAGTGGTTGATCGATGCACCTCGAATTTTGAGTCACTTGAGCCCACAGTCCGCACGCGTACAAGCAGTTGATTTCCTCCGATGTGCTTTCTTCGTCCTTGCCGTCCACCATACACGTCACGCCATGCGACATGGAATGGCCGAGAAACCAGTCAAACGTGCGAAAACGGGGAAAACATGCGTCGTCTGCGCTCATCACGTCGCGCACGAGCGTCGCTGTCCACTCGAGAAGCCGTGTGTTTGCATGCATGTACGATGCGTCCAGATGAAACGCAATGGCAACCGCTTCGAGCACAGTCCGTCATCGATCCATCCAGGTCGTCGCACGCCTTACCCATGATAAAGTATCCGTAATGGTAATGGTGGTCGTTGTACACGGCGTTGCCTGGCCAGCGCGTTAGACGCGTTCGATTCCGTTCACGGGTACCAAATTCAACGTGCACGTCGTGCTTGGCAAAGCCTTCGCTCGTGATAATGCCCTTGTACACTACCATGCCACGACATTCAAAAACGAATGCGAGACAGCTCGTTCCCACCTTGGTCGTACACGAGTGGAAACTCGACGGACGGGGTCGTCAGGGTGTCCAGGAGCCCTTTGAACTTTGTCAGGGCGGTCGATGCAATCGAGCCAATTCCTAGCGGCTCCAACTCCTTGAACTGGGCCAGCTTGGCGGCCAGAAGACACATCGACCCGTATTTCTGGAGGGCCTTGCCTCTAAAGTAGTACCCTGGCGGCATCACCCACGTCGCCGCGTCGACTTCTGCCCGCAGGATGTCCACGACTCGATTGTCGATCACGTCTTGGACCGAGGGATCTCGCGGGGGGTCGAACTGAGCACACGCAGCCACCTTTTCTTCTTCGTCCGGCGAAAACGCAAAGTTCCATGAGGTACCATGCTCAATCGTGTATGCGTGCATCGGTCCCCGCGTGTGCGAGTGCACCATCAAGTTGACAGCTTGCGTGTGGAAGGTCAAGAGGGTCTTGTGGTGCTCCAAGACGAAGTGGAGAGCCGATTTCGCTGTCGGCGGTTGGATCACCCACTTGTAATGGAACCCATGAACTGAATCCAGAGTTACTTGGCCTCGATGCACATATCCGCCTAAACAAACCAACTGTCTGACATATATCACAACGAATGCATGACGATACCTGCATATTGCTCAAGCACGGTCAGCGCTTCGTCAGATGGGACGATGGCAGCTTGAACAATGCCATTGAAAGCTGCGCTTGACTTGAGCGTTTGGTTGGTAAAAGTAAACGTCAATGCATCGCTTGCGCAACTGCTCCAGCAGAGAAGCCACCGTTGACCATTGTTGAGGCCCAGGACAAGTTTGCCAGCGTCGGAGCGGCCCTTGTACACGAATCCTTCGGCAATTAGCTGTCCGTTCACTGACACGATCGCACATTCAGACGACAGGCAGATGGGAACGTTGCTGTGCTGAATCGTCATGAACGCCTGTCCCAAAGCCATGACCGATCGAAGGAACTGAGTCTTTCCGTCTGTCAGCGCCACTTGAACAGTCAGGTCGTCCCAGTCTTCTACGAAGAAGCGCACACCGGGAGCGTCGCAGTGGAAGAGCAAGTGGCAGCAACGTGGAAAGAAGTAGTAGCTGATGGCTCCATTGACGTTGATGGGGCCCTGGTGCATGCAGTCGTACAAATAGCTACATGCAATGGTGGCAGCAATGTTGTCAATGCAAACAGTATACGGACTCGGGTACACTGGGTCGAGGCGTCCTGCCGCATTGCAACTCAGCAAATTGCCCCACCACTTGTTCGTTGGCACAGGCCCACATGCCTTGTCCAGTGATACATTCGTGGGTGATATGAACGCTTTCAATGCATCCGTCGCCGCAAAGAGCGTCGGATCTGGCGGCGAAGTGTTCTTATGCTCCATCGGCGAGCTCATCCACGTCCCCATGTGCAATTCTGTCAATTCCAAGATCCTTGATTTTGTCGGTGGTTGAGCAAAAATGACCAAATATTTGGCAAAATCCGTTGATATATATACTGTACGTTCAATTTAGATTTGAGTTCAAATTTCACAAAAATGCACAAGTTGAACGGAATTCATTCCAAATTTTAGAAAAAACAGGTCGGTTGTCTGAAATTCAACTTCAGCTACATGGCTACTTGGTGTCCGAGATGAGCTTGCGGGCCGAGATAAATATGGAGACGAGCGACATGAGCTGCAAGACTTCGGACGTTCCAGTGGCCAGCCGGTGCTCCAAGTGCGCCAACTGGTCGTGGATGAACATGCGTGCAGCGGGCGGGAGTTCCAGTTCAGTCACGTTCAAGTACACCTGCTGGAGCAGATCCATCGTCGCGTACCCCTTGAGCTTCTGGAGGTCCAGGCACTGCTTGACGCATGACTCGAACGAGTCAGTCCAGAGCCAGTTGCACATGGCGTCGATGTCGGATGGGAGGGGATTCCCCGTGCAAAGGTAGACCTGAAGGAAGTCAATGTCCGACTCAATCACAGCCTGATCTTACATTCGTTTCGTTGACGACGTCGTGGGCCATGTTGGTGGCCTGCAGAATGTTCAGAATCCGACGCATGTCGCCACCGCCCAGTCGCAGCACTGCTTGGAAGCCATCGGGAGTCATGTCAACTCTGGGAAACATGTGACGAAATGTATTCAGAACGACGAAAATGTACTTTTCGAGTTTCGCAATGTGCTCGACGCGGTCTTTGACCTGATGCTCGGCCAACGGCGAAAACCGAAAGCGCGTGCATCGCGACTGCAGTGCGGGGATGATCTTGCTCACGTAGTTGCAGATCAAGCAGAAACGTGCATTCTTGGTGTACTTTTCGATCACTGTAGCAATCATCAGAGGGAGTCCGGTGGACGTAGGATGGTACCTCGGCGTAACGCAAATTGGGCGTCGTTTGTCATGGCGTCGGCTTCGTCGAGAATGATCAACTTGATGCCGGACGAAAACAGCTTCTTCGTGCCGGCAAACTCTTTGATTTGATCGCGTACGACATTAATCCCGCGATCGTCTGACGCATTGAGTTCGAGAACCATAGACGCATAGTTGTTCCCATACAGACGCCGGGCCGCGGCCAGGATCATGGACGTCTTCCCAGTACCCGGAGGTCCATAGAATAGCAAGTGAGGCAGCTTTTGCGCATCGATCAACCGATTCAGTGTCGAAATGATGTCTGCATGTGCAATCAAATCGTCGAGCGACGACGGGCGGTACTTCTCGACCCAAGGCCAGTTGTCAGTAGTTCTGTTCTTCGATGAAATACCGGCGAAGCTGCATGCGCCAGATGTTAGATCGAGCACATGGAGGCATCACGTAGCAAGGGCTCTACCTCGGGTCGTCCTTGCCATTGCTCATTCTGCTTGGTGGTGGGATCGGCGGTCTTTGAGGCACCACGTTGAAAAACAGCCAAACCACCACCTTTGGCGGGACAATCCTACTACTAGTAGTAAAAACTTATTGACTAGTACTCTTCACCAGATTAGACCATTCAAACAGGCTCATCATGTACTACTAGTATTCCTAACACACAATCTACCCAGGGCGCCAACTATTCCAACAAGCATCATGGCGTCCAGTGTGGTCCTGCGGATCAAGCGCAAACGCAACGATGAGCCCATCGAGCAGTTGGCAGTACACGGTCAACAGGACCTCCAGAAAAAGATTCGTCTGGAAGATGCGTTGAACAGTCTGTCATTAGCCCAAGGTGGAGACAAGACGTCCTCGACAACAACCGACACTTCTCCTGGAACATCCATCTTCGTGTTTTCGCGCATCGATACCGTGTCATCGGCATCGAATGACAAGCAGTTGCAACGTCGGTTGGAAAAGAGTATTCAGCGTTACCACTCGGAAATGCTGAAGAGAGATCGTGTGCTCAAGACGAAGGTGAATTCGAAGGATGTACACCAAGCCCAGCGACAGCAGAAGCGGTACGCCAGACTTCCCAAATTACACCCCTCACGTTGTGTACCAGTATACAGCGCATTTACCAAGGACGGGGGCTGAATGTTGTCGATGTGGACGTTCCGCGAAATGAGGACAACTGCGACCTGCTGGTGAACAACACGGCCATGAGAACGAAGTCCGCCAATCGAGTTCTGAACCCCATGGAGCGCAACATCGACGAGGCCATCTGGATAGCATTTCAACGCAATGATTTCAGCGTGTTCTTTCAAGTGAAGCACCAAATCTCAAACGCGTACGAGTTCCAACGACCAGCCGACGGCGGGACGATTCTCATGGCAGCGGCGATGCACAACCGCGTGGATGTGATCGAACTGCTTTTGGCCCATAGTTCAGTACGGCCACCTTGACGTTGGTCGAAGTCTTATTGCGTGTGTTGTAGGCCAGCATCCTGCTGCGAGATGGACACGGCAAAACAGCGGCGGACATTGCGTCGGACCAAGGCCATGCCATGGCTGCCGCTGCATTGCGCGCGTGTGAATCTGTCGAAGCTGAAAAAGACTACGTGTACGATGTGTACAGCATCGATATCACTGCCACTCAAGACATCACTCCATCCAACTCGAAAAAGGATCTGCCAGTTGTGTCAGGTGGGTGACTCACCCTTCACATGCATTGTAATCTCACGTCGACGGCAGTGAGCTCGTCTGTGGAAAGATGGCTGGCACATGAAGCGTTTGGGGACTTGGATTCGGCAGACCGCGATCTCGTTTACGACGTGGACGGAAACGACAGCGACAATGAAATGCTCGAGTACGACACTTCACACACGCTCCTGTTTTGGCATGCTCAAGTTGTGCCAGGGATGACGAAGACTCTAACGATGAAGACAACGTTGCGAACGATTACCCTGACGAAGAGGAATCCGCCTTTGATTCGGACGACTCCCGGGATCATGTAACCCCTCATATCCATCACGCCGTCCACGATGTGTTCACATGCGATACTAGGACATAAACAGCGACGGCGAACCTTGGACGAAACACCGCGACTGGGATGATGCCGACGACTACTAATTCCTCCCATCTTATGCAGCTTTCCCGCGTGATCGCCACAATGGAATGGATCAGTGCCCACGTCTCATTCAGTCGCCCGAACTCCCTTTTGATGCTACCTCACGCGCGCCGAAGCTGCCGCCGACAAGCATTCAAGCGCTTGTCTACCCAATGAATCTGTCGCGTCCGTAGCTCGTGGTGGTGAAGCATGCCGTCTAGTGTTCGAAAGCCTCTATAATACAATAAATGTGGATACAATATTTGACGGTATTTTCCACCCACCACACCTCGTCAATCGTATTGGAGGTGCGCCGTCGCGGTCGTCGTGGTGAGATACAAGGATGCCGCACTCCCAGCACTTCTTGTGCCATCGTGACGTCGTACAGAGTACAGGCGTCCTCTTCAGTCTGTTTGGGTCATTTTGCTCGGTCAACTCAAGTGACCTGGTCGTTGTTTTTGCCCAACGTATCGACGTGTACCGCGTCGAACCAGTCACACGATCCAGCCCTACATCTTCCTCGAACATCACATTGCATTTGCTGCATACGTTCCCGCTGTCTGGCATTGTCGAATGTGCGCAACTAGTCCACGTGAAGAAGGCAGCAGCATGTTTGGCGCTCACGTTTGCGGCGGCCAAATTGGTACTTGTTCGCTACCAAGGCGGCTCGTTAGTCACTGTCGCAATGCACAACTTCGAAGAAGACGGCATGGGTCTTGGTACGGCACTGCAAGGAGAACGATTCGGTCGAACGCAGTTCAGCGGCATCTCGAGCATTCCTCTGACAATGGCAGACCCCGACCATCGGTGTCTCTCGATGCTGCTCTACCAAGACCAGCTCGTGGTGGTTCCCCTGCAAGACAGCCGGCACGACCCGACCGACGACGACGAAGAGGCCATGTACCAGATCGCTAGTCTCAAAATGGAAGACAAGACTCGAACCGAGCAATACGCGTCGACGTTGGCGTCGTTCGGGCTCGACGGTGTTGTCGGCCGAACGTTCATGCTCCGCTTGAAGGAGCTCGACATCCGTGGCAAGATAATCGACTTTGCCTTCCTCGAGGGGTATTTGGAGCCGACCCTCATGCTTCTCCACGAAGAGAACGACCGCCAGGCGACTGTCGGGCGTTTTGCTGCGGGGTTCGACACGTGCTGCTTGACAGTGCTTTCGATCAACTTGACAACCAGGTACATCCGATCGAGTTGTGCCGCGTCTTTATCGTACGTGTAGACTCCATCCCAAGATTTGGTCCATCGGAAACCTCCCGTCTGACTGCTTCAAGGTCTCGCCATGCCCGGCCCCGCTTGGCGGGGCCATCGTGCTGTCCCAAAACGCCATTCTCTACTTCAACCAAAATCAGTACTTTGGGCTGTCCACGACGGCATTTGCCGACAAAACAATCGACTCGACCAGATTTCCACTGTACCCTTCTCCGCTCCTTCCTCCTGACGACAAATTTCTCCTTACCAACTGTCGAACATGCCTCCTCAACGCGGACGAGATGCTGCTGAACGTGTCGGGCCAACTCTTTGTCTTGTCGTTGCCGAGTCACCGCAGCCTGAAGCAAAAGGGCTACTACGGCCAAGAAGTGTGCCAGCTCATGCTGCGGCGCATGTCGACTAGTCAATTGATCCCGGCGACGTCGATGGCGGTCAACTTTGAAAAGCGCTTGATCTTCTTCGGCACGCGCAATGGCGACTCGCAGTTGTTTCGATATCACACGTCGGGCGACGACCACGGAACAGGTACGCCAGACGACGCAATGGCTACGTATGAATTGAAGCCACAGATGCACCGACCGTCGCGACCACCCCCGCATGCCCCGTGCCGGTGCCAGATGATCTCGACTCGGATGGCGAAGACATGTACTTATATGGTCGTGTTCTCGCCGCCCCGGAAACAACTCAAGAGAATGATGTATCTCAGCCCGTCGAAGCCACCGTCGAGTTCGCCGACATTTCCCTAGAGGTTGTAGACCACCTCGCCGCGATCGGCCAAGTCACTGCGATGGACATGGGTGTGGATGTCGACCTGGAAGGCGACGTGCCGAAGGATGCGCTGGTGCTGAGTGGTGGAGTCGGCGCGCAATCCAGTGTCTCTGTCATCAATCGAGGTTCGTTGCGCGGAACAAAGTTCAACCGTTGGCTAACATGGTCATTTCTCGGTAGGAATTCGACCGGTCGTGATCACGGAAGTGCCGCTGGAAGGGTGTCGAGCGATATGGGCGGTGTATGGCTCGGCCAGCGCCACACACCACGGGTACTTGATCCTGAGCATGAAGAGCCGCACGATGGTGTTGAAAGCTGGCGACGAAACGCTGCCGTTGGAATCGTCGGGTTTGTTTGTGGAAGGGCCGACGCTTGCAGCGTCCAATATCCTGAATAACCAGCGCATTGTTCAAGTGTACAAGCAAGGTAGCTGCCCTTTGGACGTTGCCCCGCCAACCTGCTTGATCGTAGGAGTCCGTCTTTTGGAAGAGTCGAACGAGACTCTGGAATGCACCCAAGAGATTCCGCTAGAAGGAGATATCGACTGCGGCGGCCTCGGCGTCGACGGCCCTGTCGGCATCGTGTCGGTCGATATCTTGGACCCTTACGTACTGCTCCTGCTCAGTGACGGCAGTCTCCGCGTCGTGTGCGCCGACATGAACGACCTCGATCTTTCGGTGATTCACCCAGATCTGGACGGCTCCCAAGGCCAGCAGATCTGCTGTCTGTGCTTGTTTCACGACTGGGGGCACATCTTCTCGCAGCCACCACCAGAAGATGATACACCCGCCACCCAAGAGCCCGACGTTGAAGCGGACCACGACGACGATGACGACATTGACGGTGATACGATGCTCGGGACGGTGCGAGGGCTAATGTCAGGATGATGCATGCTTAGGGCTGTACAAAGTAGCAAGTGCTGAAAAGCAAGCGGCCGAGAAATCCACACGACTGCTACCCCAGGACTCGACTGGTGCACCAGTCTACTGTGCAGTCTGCTTAGACAATGGGACGATGGTGGTCTACTGCCTGCCAGACTTCACGGTTCAAGCGGTGTTTCCCGGCCTGAACGTCGCACCCCAAGTGCTTGTAAACACCAAACTGACGTCGCTCCAGTATCCCCTCGTGGGCCTTGCCCAAGACGGAAAGAAGCCCGCCATGTTGTCCCCCGTCGCGGACATTTGCATCCATCGCGTCGGTCCGAGCGACTCGACCGGCAACGGCAACGTTGTGAGCAAGATGGTGCTCGTCGTGTATGTGGCCAACGGCGACTTGATCTTGTACCAAGCCGACGGCAGTCGGTTCGTCCGGCGCGCGACCCAGTCGATTACGCGGCCTTTTGTCCTGAAGAAAGAATCGTCGTTTGCCCAGCTCAACACGACGCTGTTCCGGTACCCGATGTTGACGAAGTTTCATTCGGTCATGAACCATTCCGGCGTGTTTTTCCGCGGCGCGTCGCCCATGTGGATTTGGAACTCGCGTGGGTTGCCTGCCTTGAGTCCGATGGCCGTCCCGCTGTCCAAGAAGAACCAAGTCCCAGTCCTCTGTTTGACGGCTTTCCACCACTGGAACTGCCCGGAAGGGTTTGTTTATTTTCACTCGGACGGGATGCTCCGCGTCTGCGAAGTGCCGCCCCGTGCCACGATCACCCAGAACGGATGCACCGTGCAAAAGGTCCCCTTTGGCTGTACCATCCATCACTTGGTCCACATCGGATGCCATGGCACTGGAGCTGTCCAGGACGCTCTGCAGACGCCGACGTACGCTGTCGTCGTTTCAACTGCCGCCCCTCCGCCCGTCGACGATGGTAATAACGCAATATGCACTCGACCGCTCAGCCTGTCATCGCGGGGTTTGTACGGCTCTAGGCACTGAAAACGACGCGGAAGCCGATGCCGAAGAGGATGGCTACACCGCACCAAAGCCTGGCGAGGTTTTGAATGGCATGGAGGCCGGTGACTTTGCTGGTATGACACGATCTTTCACTGACACGAGAGATGTTTAACGCCGGTCAGGTGTGCTGGACGAACAGTACGAACTGCGTCTGGTGCAGTCGGTGGACGGGCACTTGTCCAAGGACAGCGTGTTTTCGATCCAAATGGAACGATACGAAGTTGTGCTGACGATCAAGGTCATGTACCTGTCCGATGCTCCCGTCCTCGTTCCCCAAGAATGGAAGCAAAAGCGAAAGCCTTATGTGGTGGTCGGCACCGGCGTTGTCGGACCGAATGGCGAAGACGAGAACGGAAAGGGTCGGCTGCTCGTGTACGAGGTCGACTATGCCCAGTACACCAGTGCCCACGGCGTCACGGGGCGCAAGGTAACGTTGTATGTCTATCGCGACAACAGCGTCATCCGTTCAACTAGCTTCCAAAACTCAAACAAGTGTACGCAAAAGACCACAAACAAGGCGGGATTTCGATGGTGTCGCAGCTGGGCGCGTACGTCCTGGCCGCCGTCGGGTCCAAGCTGATTGTGTACGAGCTCAAGGGCGGTCAGTTGGTCGGGTGCGCCTTCTTCGACGCCCAGCTCTACATTGTTAGTCTCAACGTGATCAAGTCGTTCATTTTGTACGGCGACATTTACAAGAGCGTGCATTTTCTGCACTGGAAACCCCAGGAAAAGTCCATCATTATGCTTGCCAAAGACACAGAGCCGTTGGACATCACGGCCACGGAAGTGTCCGTGATGAATTCGCAACTCGGGTGCGTCGTCGCCAAGCGCGCCCTCCTTTGTCCTGTTCTGACTCTCGGTTGTAGATTGATTGCGTGCGATCTACAGTCGAACGTCCACGTCCTTCAGTACGAGCCGACCCACGTCGAGTCCCGAGGCGGCCAGAAACTCCTCCGAACATCCGACTTTCATCTCGGCACCCGCGTCACGTCGCTGCTGCGAAAACGCGTGCTGGACTGTCCGTTTCCCCTCTACGTCACGCTGCTTGCGACGGCCGAAGGCGGCGTGGGAGTGCTCATTCCTGTGCAAGAGCGGCTCTTTCGACGCATGTATACGCTTCAGAGCATCATGGTCAATGTCCTGCCGCAGAACGCTGGTACCTGTATCATGACGAGTCGGACAACGCAGCTAACGTTTGTCTACTCGATGAAGGGCTGAATCCACGAGAATTTCGACAAGCTCTGCACACTCGAAGTACGGGGCGGCCCGATGCGTGGTGCACGTGGAAGGCAAAGAAGGCGTTCTTGGACTTTTCGGTCATCGGGCGGTTCTCCGACTTGGATTATGTGGCGCAGCGAGAGCTGGCGCGATGCATTGGGACCACGCCAGAGGTTGTCCTCCACAATTTATTGGAACTCCAGCGCACCACGCTATTCCTATAACGACCCTAACGAACGATCCCTGTCTTCCATCTCACTCGCCTCCGGCGATGTCCATGGCTATCTCATGCGCTTCACCACTCCATGCCACGGCGGCTGCGCTCTTGGTCTTCGTGCACCTTCAGTCATGTCACCGCGGGTGTTGTGTGGTGTAAACAAGCGGCAAACATCAATAATCATTTAATGATAATAACAAACAATTCATTTACAAACTATTCAAAACAATACAATGAAGAAGTGTAATGAAATAAATGAATTCATGATTATATAAGAATTCATGATGCGACTTCGAAGTTCGGTCCAAGTTGAACTGGGCAGCTACAGCTGGATGGCGTCGGCATTCCGGCAATGGCGACCATGGCGGTAGTCCTCGCGCGCCGCTCGCAAAGACTTGTGTGTTTGCACACTGCCTCGACGTGGATGTTTAGGCGTCGCGCGAGTACGTTCGCAACACCAACGCATCACGAGTACCACGTGGCCAACGGTGCGGTGGTGCATTACTCAACTTATGGTCCAATCGACGCTGCAGCATCCATCGTGCTGCTGCATGGTGCTCCTGGGTCGTATGCTGATTTCAAACATTTGTCGCCATTGCTAGCTCGCGAGCATTTGAATGTCGTTGCTTTCGATTTGCCAGGGAACGGAAGGAGCTCAGCCGACGCTGTCGGCAGCAAGTACAACCTGTCCGATCAAAGCCTCGCCGCCGCAATTGTGGACGCTTTGGCCAACCGATCAGACCCGAACACAATGTTCATATTGGGCCATTCCTTTGGCAGCCACACCGCGATGCGAGTTGCCGCCAATGCCAAATCTGTTGGTGGAATTGCTCTGTTAGCCCCCGTGGGTCTGCGGCCGCACCATCCACTTCGCCGCTTCCCCATGGTTCTGCTCGGCAGATTGTTGCAGCAACCCCATCCATTGCGCTCCATCCTCGCCAAGATCAACCAGTTGTACTACATCCACGGCCTCCGCTTCCCAAAGCGAGTTCCTCAAGACGACTTCACTTTCGCCTTGCAACGCATTGGGTCATGTGACTTTGAACACATGAAGACGGTGGTCGAGACACTCCATGCACGGAACCTGCCGTCGTTCGTGGCCATGGCGTGCGACGACAGGTTGATCGAGCCTGAGATCATTCGAGAGCTGGGCCACGCCCTTCCGCCAGGCAGACGCATCGAGTTCCAGACTGGCGGCCACAACATTCAAAAGTCACAGGCGAGAGAAGTCGCCAACGGTCTCGTTCAATGGATCGACTCGATCTTAGCGCGGTTGTCCCAACACCCTCCTTCAACTTGAACACGGACCTCTTCGTGCGCTCTTTCCTGCGTTCTAACACGATTTCTGTGGCATCCGCATGGGGTTTCGATTGCTAAAATCACGTCACCCATGCTTCCTGCTGCGGGAGGACGTTCGCCAGCGATCGAACCAATTCCGTCGAGTTGATGCAAAGCATGCACACAATGTTGCCGTGATCGTTCTTTGTCGCGTCGACCATCGGTGCGACACGGTGTCGCAAGTTGTTGGGAAAGGAGGATGCACATCGCATCCACGCTGTCCCAACACGGCTCCAATTCTCCTATTCAACCGTGTGATTTCCAAGGCGATGCCAACGGCGGTGGGTAGTCGTCGCCGTGTTTTCTCGTCCAGCACGACGTCGATGACTCTGCGACACGTTTGGGCTTCGGCACTGCCGACGTGGTGGCGCCACTTGGGACGGACAGGTCGTACCGCAGGCTACCGCTAACTTACGAAGTCACTACGATTGCTAGCCTCGTGGCACCACTCTCGTCGAGTGTCTCCCTGCCGACGGCATCATCGACAAAACAACCGACTCGTTCAAAAGGAATGCAATTCACAAAGTTAGGCCACGACGTAATACCCAGACGTGACCATGATCTCTGGGTACTGGCGGTGCCATTCCGTCATGAGATCGCTGAAATGTTCCGGGTGCGAATGCTGCAGCGCGACGGGGTCTTCTGCGAAGCACACAAAGACAGTCGCCACGGCACTATCGACGACGCCCATGGGAATGATCGCAACGCCCAAGCCAAAGAAGAGCCCGATCAACGGCAAAATGTACTGCGCATACTGAAACTGGTTCGACACGTCGATGTAGTAGTACACGAGGCCAAGGAGCGCACACAGGCAGCCCACACCAAACGCGGCAAAGGTGAGCGCCGTCCCGACCAGGTCGTCGTTGATAATTGCATCGAACCCGCGGTCATGGAAGAGTTGCATGACTGCACGGCCGGCATCGATGAACTTGTACCCGTAGATGCCCACATACACAAATGCCCACCTGTTGAACGTTTCCATCAGGCTCTGGAGGCAGCCCAGAATGCATTGCGCAATGCACGCCGCGCAGTCACCTTGACGGGCGGCTTCTTCGGCCAGCTGGCGCAATGTTTGGAGGATGGCCACAATCAACGAGCCCAGGCAGATCGAGCCCAGCGATGTCGTGGTGGCGCGACCCAACGATGCGCCAGTCGCGCCCTTTGAGTCGCTGGAAAACCACCACGTGGCCACTGTGCCAGCCACTGTCGCGTGGATGATATTTTTGAAAACTTGGACACCCCAGAAGAACGAAAGCAACAAGAAAAAGTACGCCACATACGACGTCGACTTTAGAGTTGCAAACACGTTGGGTTCTTGGCACACAGCGTTGAAGCAGTAGTTGGAGAAGCATTGCAAGCTGCTGCTGCATCGCCTGCCGTTGGACAAGGTCGCGGACAGCGGAGTCGGGGCAGGGGTGGAGGTTTCCGTCATCTTGTTTGTAATCCCGACCACAGCAAACGCCCACGCGAACACCCATGCGATTTGTACAATCAAAAATGCAAATGCCACGAGGTGAGTCGACGGATGCTTGCGAATTGCAGCCCCAGCCGCGCGCAAATTGGCTGCCGCGAAGGGAATGCGGCTTTGGACGGCATAGGCATAGCACAGCGCAAACAGCCCGATGATTGCAAAGATAATCGCTGGAGTGTAGAGCTTTCGAATGACGGCAAACGCGGTGAACCCGAAAAACATAACGACACTCCACCACAACGCGACTTGAATCATTTGGCGGGCAAAACGAATGGTAAGGTTGAGCATCACCAGCGACAGGACCGCTGCAATGACCGACAACCCACCACAAAGATACAAGATCGTCTTGACATCGCCTGACGAGAACGTCGATGAAGAAAACGCCGACTTGGACGTTCCATTGAGTGCCTTGAACACTGTAGATCCATACATGATCAACAGCGCCACAATTGCACCGATGTTGGCGATGAATAACAACGCGAACGGCCAGTCGCGGAATCCGGACGGGGCAGAGACTGAAGGCTTGATAGGCGTCACATTACCCACCGACGCAGAGCTAGTGTATGGAACAGGGGCTGCCATCGCGATCGGTTGTCCGTACGCATCCACGGGCTGAGCATGCGCGGCATATTGCGCGGGCGGATCGTTCTTGTACATGTCTTCCAGGACGAAATTCCAGAAATGACGACACGTTCGGTTGAACAACAAAAACACAACCGCATGACATACAAATATTCAGTCAAAACGGCGTCTCTATCCAGCTTAATTCGCTTGGTCGTGAAATGTCTCATCATTTTAGTATTGAAATACCTGCTTATATCCTACGTCGTATCGTCGTGAGGTTGCGATAACCCTTCCATTTGTTCAATTTTTTTGAACTTGCCCCATTCGGCCGTTATTTTTTACCAATCATAGGACGCACAGCAGTTGTGTAGCCAATCAAGAATGGAGACGAAATTCTTTACAGCCAATCAGAGACGTGCAATCTTGACCCGGCGGTAGAGCAAGGCACAGTTCAAAGGTGCGCCTTGAGGAATTCGGCCTTAGCGATCGTACGCATGTGAACTTCGTCAGGTCCGTCGGCCAGGCGCAATGTGCGGAGAGCCGCCAGGTAATATGCCAGAACAAAGTCTTGGCTCACCCCTGCTGCGCCATGGATCTGTATCGCGCGATCGCACACCTTGATCGCCATGTGTGGTGCCACGACCTTGATCATTGCAATCGCTTGGGCAGCTGCCTTGTTGCCCTTCATGTCCATCTCGTGTGCCGCGTGCAATGTGAGCAGGCGTGCGCTGTCCAGCTCGCTACGCACATTCCCATGTTGCAACGTGCAGAACGAGAACGTCGAGCAGTAGTAGTACCATCTCGACTTCGCCACGGACGCCGCCACGACTGGATTTTCTGCAAGCAGTTGCTGAAACGCGTACCTGGTTTTAGCTCGATGGACCTGCAGAGTACTCGTCAGACTTGAACAGAGCGCCGATGTTCGTCACCATAAGGTCCATGCACCGCTCCGCCATCCCGATGGCGCGCATGCAGTGGTGAATCCGACCAGGTCCCAACCGCGCCTGGGCGATTTCAAACCCTCGCCCATCGCCCAGCAAGATGGACGTCAATGGGACCCGCACGTCGCGGAAGGACACTTCCATGTGGCCGTGCGGCGCATCATCGTACCCAAACACGTGCATCGGGCGCTTCACCGCCACGCCTACACCATCGAGCACATCGAAATCGAGTAATCATCTAAATGGCACCAATCTCGGCTGAAAGCACCTACCACGGGCGTTCATCGGGACCAGTATCATGGACTGCTGGCGGAACGAAGAAAGCTTTGCATGTGTCTTGATCTTGCCCATGACGATGATGAGCTGGCAGCGGGGGTCGCCCGCCCCCGAGATGTACCACTTGTCGCCATTGATCACATATCCATCGTCGCGTTTCTCAAACTAGTCGAATTCGATTACATTTGGCATCGCTTCTGAGAGCCAAACCTGGGTGCACACGTTCGTCGCATCAGAGGATGCCACGTATCGCTCCGTCATGGCGAAGCACGACCGGATCGTGCCTTCGCAGAGCGGGACGAGCCACTGAGCCTGTTGGTCGGGGGTGCCGAACCGGCTCAAGATCTCCATATTCCCCGTGTCCGGCGCCGCGCAGTTGAATACTTCCGGAGCCAGCGTCACGCATCGGCCCATGAGCTCACACATGATGCCGTACTCGACGTTTGAGAGTTTTGCACCGTACGACTTGCCATTTGGGAGCGTCACTGGCGCAAGGAACAGATTCCACAGCCCCAGTGCCTTGGCTTCCTCCTTCAACGTCTCGACAATGGGAGGAACCGACGTCCACGTCTTGCCCGCCTTTCGCAGCGCCGCCAGCTCCTTCATGTGCACGACTTCGCTCGGGAAAACCCGGGCTTCGCAAAACCGCGTGAGCTTCCCATACAATTCCAACGCGTAGTCAGACATGGGGAGACCCAGCACGGACGGATTCGGGGTGCTCGCGATGCTGTTGCCGGCGCTGTCTTCGCGGGCAATGGTCGCACCCACTTGCATAAACAGCACGTAGCAGTCCTTGGCCACCCCCGCGTGTGCTGACGACGCATTGCCCTGGGAATGCGACGCCACCACGATTAGATTGCATCACCTGGTAACATCGCTCCAGCACTCTAACTTGGCGATACGAATTGTTCAACAGGACATCAACCATCCAACGCACCAAGACTTGCCGCGAGTACACGCCTTGAAGGATGACAGCCAAGCGAAAGAACACCAGCGCGAGGAAGAAGCGCCATGTCGAGTCCGCCAGAGGGTACCGCTGCATGCGCTTGCAATACGTGCGGACAACTTCAGCTTCGGTGGGGATTCCTAGGTGTTGCAGGTTGCGCTTCGCCAGGCCAGGGATCATCTACAAGGCGAAGACATGAGTCCATGGAGTCTCGAATGGGTAACGACGCACTTGCGACGTGGATGGCACGCGGTAGAACGAGCACAAGGTCGCAACGTCGCTCAACGGATGCCCGATGGTGCTGAGTTCCCAGTCTAACAACGCGACGATTCGCGGCTCCGTGGGGTGGAAGATGGCATTGTCCAAGCGAAAGTCCCCGTGAACGATGCTGCTCTCGTCTTGAATCGAGTCCACGGCTGAGTGGAGGTAGTCTGATACCGCCAGCATGTCCCGGTCGCCCCCGATGGACACCGCGTGCTGGGTCAATACATCTCCTTGTGCATTGTACTGTCGAGTCCAAGTTCGTAGTACGCGCTGTCCGTAGTTTTGCGCTTTTCCAAAGTCCTCAAGTCTACAAATACGATGACATTCCTTCCAAAGGACCTACTCATGAAAGATGGTACCCAAGTGATGCTGGGTCCAACGAATGTAGAGTTGCCAGCACGTCGACCAACGCGTGGTAGATGGCATATCTCTCCGTTGGCGACATGTTCGGCAAAGAAGGGTCCTTAAAGACTCTTCCGGGGACGTATTCCATCAAGAAGAACGTCGTGCCCAGCACGGATGGATCGTTGCAGAAGGACACCATGCGTGGCACGGGCACTGCAGTAGTTTGCAGCGCCTATTCTCGACATGGTGACTGTGTCAACGTCGTGATATAGATGTACCTCCATCACACGATATTCTCTGTCCACAGCATGTGCCGACGGAAGAATGTTGCCGGCGGGCTTCTTGCGCAACACCAAGCGTTTCGCTCCAAACTCGACCAAGTACGTCGGGTTGCTTTGGCCATGCTTGAACTGGTTAACAGACAAGGGCACGTTCTTCCCTTCTAATGAGAAATGACCCTCTAAGTACACTCGTAGGCGGTCAAGGTCCAGTGGTTGTCGCATCGGCTCCACGTCCGCCCCAGCATCATGCGACATCGTCGTGAACAATCTTGTTCAGGTTGACGTGACAATATTTTTAATTTATCGTAGACTTCCAGCACTCCTCTCATGTTATACTTGAATTAAGTATACCAATTTGGAGACGACTAATTCCAACATAAAATCGAGATTTTTTAAAATTCATCCGGCACTGTCATTTCGACAGGTAATTAAATTGGCAAATGGGTTGAACCTTGGTGGATACCGAGGAATTGAGCGCACCCATCGGCATGGATGCGCCGCGGACGGGTGGTGGAGTACGATACAAGGTGCGCTCTCTGTTGAGGAGGATAGGCAATCTTCTATTCTACAGCGAGAACTGGACCTTCATCGTCACGGGCCGCCCAGCCGACAGGCACGGAACCTGGGTGTACTCGGACATCATGAATTCCCGCAACGTCTTGAGCAAGTCTTGGTACGACAGGTTCAGCGAGTACTTGTTCATGGCGGCGATGAACGCATACGACATGGCTCCCGTGGCTGTACCTTCGATCACAGCGTCGGCACTAGTTTGGGTATCCTTGCATCCACTGAGCAGAATCACATCAGCCGCCGTCGTGCGGTCCTTGACGCGGTGTTCAGCAACAGGCCCTGTCTTCTCGGTCGGTGCCGCATTGAACGCATCCATGCCAGCCTTGAAGTCAGCCTTCGCTTTCTCCGAGTTGCCTCGCAAGAAGTCCAACCCTGTCGCATCCACGAGTTTCAGTCGTGACCGCTTCAGTTACCCACCAGCGTTGAGGATATGGCGAGCACCGACAGCGCGTCGGTCATCCTCATGGATTTCCAAGTTGCCGTCCACTGTGTACATGAAGGGAAGGTCCAAGACCGAGCCAGAGTGGCAACAATCGAAAATCGCCGTCAATTTGACACCGGCAGGCAGCGACGCACACATGATCGAGTGCATTTCGTCGTCGGTGATCATACCAGCAGTGTCGTAGTCGACGGGACAGATCGTTTCATCCATGCCGTCGGCCTCGTCGCCATCTAGACAGCATTCGAGGAGGAAGCGGTATCAAGTGCGTTCGCACCTGCATCCTTTTGTTGCGAACCGTGGCCACTGTAGTGGAAGAACAAAGAATCGCCTAAGCATGTGAATGAATAGAAGTCTTGTGGACCACGTAGACGCCATACCTGGACGGGCATTTTCGACCAGCCACCGCATGCCCGCGAGGATGTTGGCGCGAGTTGGGCGATCATGGCCTTGCTGGTCGTCGGTCAAACGGCGCATGTTGTTGGCAGGGAATCCACATCGATCCTTGACAAACCGGTGCAAGTTCTCTACGTCCTTGATGCACCCTACTCCCTTCGTCAATCTCTGGTTGCTTGCAATGTCACACCCACCTCGAAGCTCGGCATCCGTGCCAAAGTAATTGATTCCAATGAATAGCGCTTTCTTGGTCGAATTCGCGTTGGAGTACTTGGTGTGTTCCTACGTTCCGTTAGTCAACCCATGATCGTGGATTGCATACCCAAGCTTCTTCCGGCGCAGGAGCGTGCGTCGCGCGTTTCGAAGTGGCGTTGGGATCGTTCAAGTGGGTGTTGATGAGTTGGTTTCCGATGGATTCGACTTGATTGAGGACGTTCGGGTCGTTCACGGCGCCCTTGACGGCGTTGGCAATGCTCGAGAAGAACGACATGACTTGATCGCACAGGGAAATTCAAAATATGTCTTCCACCAGGGTTGAGGTGGGCGCATAAATTCTGACAGGTCAAGTTGACACGCTACATTTTTATTCCAGTTCAATACCAAATCCCAATGAAGAAGATGTTCGGAATATTATTACAACGTGTGAGGTGACTTCCATATGGGAGAGTGGTGTCTTTGCAGTCGACGAGGACGAGCGAGGTACATATATCGGCGAGCCATTGCGTGACTAGAAAAGCGGTTCAATTCTCAATTCTTGCTTCTTCTCTGCAGATCTTTACGTCGCGTGAAGTGCGCAATGAAATGAGGTCGTGCTTTTTGCCAGCGTCGTCGTGGTCGCGGCTTTGCCACGTAGCATGTCAACAACTTTCAAATCGAATGCCTTGTATATTCAAGTTGTTTACTCGCATATGTAAGAACTTCAAATTACACTGAAAACGATATTGTAAATACATTCACACGTATTCTCAAATTTTGTATATTCAGGTCCTGTATACGATGAAGTATTTTGTGTCGTTTATACATATCAGATATCCCTTCACATGTTAATTTATTCACGACGACGGCCCTTCAATTGCCCCATCACGAAAACTGGCTGTAGCAGACGTCGGCCGTGATGGCCATCGCTTCAGCGACGTCAGGAGTGGGTCTCGATGGCATTCCATGCAGCGACGGATGGAAGGGGTGCGGATGGCGACTGGGCTTCGTCCCTGCACCACGTCGTACGATCGAGATGCCCAACCTTGAGCCCGAGTGCCAAGGTGTGTGCTGCGAACTTGACATCTGGCCAGGCAAAATGCGTTGGGTAGGTCATTTAGTAGTGTACATTTTGTAACGTAGAAGGGCACGACGTGTGCCGCGATTTCCTCTTGTCTACAACGGATCAACAGGGTTGGGGACTTCAACGTCGATTTGTTGCATCGACACGAGAGGCGGGTGCTCCTCCTTCTCGTTCCCTGCGACGACTTGTTCGGGACTCAATTCGTTTTGAACACGCTGCAGCCACGTCGCGGCCTTCTGATAGCACGAGTTGAGCTTGGTCGCAGCTTGAAAGCAATCCAACGCTTCGGGGAGCCTTTACACGAAACCGAACGTCAGTCATGCCCACCCAACGAGACGACACAACTGCGTACCGACGAGTGCTGTAGAAGCAGAGACCCATGTTGTGGTACGTAACGTGATGCTTGCCCATTTCTTCCAGCGAGCGCGTGTAGAACCGCAGCGCTTCTTCGTACTCGCGCATGCCGTAGTACACGCGGCCAATCTCGAACGCAATGTCCTGGTTCAAATGCCGATGAAACACGACAACAAACACATGAACGAACCTTTTCTTTGTCCAGTTGAAAGTAGTGGCGCCACGTGTTCTGGAGGCACAGCATCACGTCGACCTTGACCTTGGCGGTCGCTCCAGGCGTTTGGTCGAGGAATACGTCGCGGAATTTGTAAAACAAGTCGGCGTCGTAGAAACTGAGCTTCATCAGCGCCAGCACCCCCTTGAGACTCGGCGCCTTGACCTCTTCCTAATGCCACACTCAAAAGACCAGAGTTACTCGTGGATCGACGAACCTTCATGGCTTTTTGCATGACGAAGAAATCATTTGGACCAAATGACACCAGCGTATCGTCATACACATGAGCCACATTTGGGTATGCCGCACTCCGTTGGATCGACAGGTCCTCGACGTCCACTCCATCCTGCGGCGGCGGCGGCGCCGTGTCTTGCGGCACGACAAACAACGAAACCTGCGAATAGAGCCGCCATCGAGTGACCGTTGCCTCATGCATTCGAATGCAATTACCTTGAGGCTGGCTTCTTCCTGCGGATTGTGCAAGGCAAATCCGCCACGATGGGCGACGTAAATTCCCACGGCGTGATAATTCACCCTGCCCTCCGTCGTGACGATTCGTCGGGACACCACCAGACGTACATGACGGAGAAGCTGCCGTGGACCGCGATATGCGGGTCTTGCAATCCACGAAAGTGGTCGGGGTTCGTGTGGCCCTTGTCTCCTGACAGAATCAACATTTCGTTGCGACTGAGCTGCTTGAGGCGCTCGATCGCGTGCAGCGCTCCAATCGGGACCAAAAACGTGGCGGGCGAGTCGTTGTAGTAGTCGCAATACCACTTCAACACGGCGTTGATGTGCGGATTCGTGTAATAGTCGGCATCGATTGCATCGTAGCGATACAAGTTGCTCAATCGTTTGATGATGTCGGGGTCGAGCGGGTCTACATCGTCTCGATAACAAGTCGCGCCGTGAATCGTCCGCGACGCCGTACCCGTTTCGTTGAGGCGAGTCGATCCGACGCTGATGAGCCCTTGCTTGAGCACGCTGTGCTCCACTCGGAACAGCTCGTGGTGCAGAGTGTCAAACAAGTAGTTGGCAATCACACACATCGGGTTTTGGAGCGACTCGGACACAATCGAGTGCTTTGCATGGATCAGGTACAGCGACGAGTCGTGTGTGGCGTCGAAGATGGCAAAGTCCAGCGTGCCCCGCTGCACAAACGGCGCGAGTGCGGGGTGGGTCTGCCAGAACTTGAGGTTCGAGTCGGTGAAGTCGGTCATGACGTAGCGGATTTGACCGAGTGGAAACGATAGGTTCAACACGGCTTCCATGTCGTGCAGCCACTGCAAAAAGTAAAACGAAAACTTGCCGCTGCCCGTGCCCAGCTCGACAATGTAGAGCGGTTCCGTCGGATCCAGCTGAGTCAACGCGTCGCGCAAGTACGCCACAAACACTTGCACGTATCTACACGACAAATCAACCGTCCACTCTGTGCACGACCGGCGCGCGCACCTTTTCGCAATGAACGTGTTGGACGTGATGAAGTGCGGCACGATGCCCTGCGCCCACGACTCGACGCCTTGCCGGTCGTAAAACGAGCTCATGAGCTTCCACAGATGACTAGACGAAAACGGCGTAAACGTCTCGAGCTCAAATCGTTCCGGGCTGCTCGTGCGCGGCTCGTCCTCCTTGTCCGACACGGGCGGCGTCGTGAGGTCGACGTGCGGTTCCTCTTGGTTCTGCTCCAGCTGGGCCACACGGCGAGTTTCCGGGACTTCAGTCGTCAACGCCATAGTGCTCCTGTACGCCAACGACGGTGCTGCAACAGGTTGCTTCCAATGCAAGTGGCCGACGCGGCGCCGCCCGTGACGCCTCGGAAGATTAGAGTAAGATGCATTGTCGCAGGAAAACCCGTCAAACTAGATACAACCACCACCGCGACCTTTGGGCCACCGCCGAAAGGTCACACAAGATACGTTCGATAAATGCCGGTGGTGTAGAGGTCGAGTCCATCCGCCGCCGCGCATGGGTCCGACGTTCGTTTGCCTTGCAAAAGAATACGCGAGTCCATTCCGGGGCGGAATGAAGAGGGGTCCTGCGCTGTGCTTTTGGTGGCCATTGACCTGGCGACTTGGATGGCTACCCTCAGACGTGCGCGCCATCGTAGCCGCAAAGGCGATGGTAGAAGCGACTAGGATGTCGTGGTTGCACCGTAGAAAACGGATCGGCGTGTCAGCGACGTACGAGGAAACCGTGCCGAGCTTCTACACACTGCCGGCATATAAGAAAGCGAGGGCTGCCATGCCGTCGACTAGCCATTCCTCAAACCCGAGTGCAGACGGCCATGGACCCACCGCACCAGACCAGTTCGCATGTGCGCCACGACGACTCCAGCCCCATATCTGAGAAGACTCTCGGACACACACGAGGTTTCGATATGTACACAAAACGTTGGTTAACTCAGTTTTAACGTGACCAACTACACCCACAGGCTCGAACACGCGGCGCAGCGGAGATCTAAGCCCTTCTCCGTGCGAAGCAGCGACACCGAGTTGGACTCTTCGATGCCGCAGTCTGCGCAAACGGGTTGCAGATACCACGCACGCGGTGGCGCAGCTCCAGTTGACACAGCGGGTGGGGTCGGCGACATGGCCAAGGACGCGGCGGTGCCGCACGAGGTCCAGGGCCACTTTGAGTTAGGCGCCGCCGGGGCTCTTGCAGTGCGCAACCAGATGGCCACCCAATGGTCCAGAAGAGCTTCGCCGACCAACGGCCGGTTTCGACCCGACGTAGGCACTTCTCCCCATGGCTGTTGTGGTGTGGTTGGCGACAGGGAGCTGTTGCTTTGCTCCAACCCCGCAAGTTGGAGCCGTCGAGCCTGGACTTGCCGACGATGGCGCCACCGCTGCATGCCCACGACGCAACCAACCACCGCCACCACGACACTCAGGCCGACGGCGAGCCACATCCAGGCAGACATGGTTTTCGACGCCCGGGCCGACGTTGTGGTTGGAGTCGCCGTCGATTTCCGTAGGGACGCCGTCTGTCGGGGTGACGATTCCGTGGGCTTGTTCATATCGTAGGTCGCGACTGGTACCGCCACCGTCGGCGCCGTTGGTTTTGGACGCGTGCGTTCTGGCGTCGACGACGGGGGACTTGTCCTTTCTGGTGCCGACGCGATGCGGGTGGTAGTGGGGGGCGTTGCGGCGGTTGTCGCCGCCGGACGAGGTGGCGACACACCGCATGCAGCCGTCTCCGATCGCAGCGGCACGCATCCGAGCACGAGAGACGGTCGGTTGGGTAGTGCTTGGCAGCACGATCCGAACTCGAGACGCGGTTGGGGGCCCGGACACACGCCAATTCTCGACGTGCCTCCGCAGCTGGGGCCATCGGGGGCCGTGAACACGCCGGCTACGCCAACCACACTGACGTCGGTGCCACCCACCGACGACGCAAGACACATTGCCGCCACGACGACGGCGGCGCAAAAGATCACGAAGGAGCTCATTGTTGGTGGACTCTCGATATATTATTACCAAATGCACGACGATGGGCTTGGTCGGTTTGAACGAAATGACTTGGGGTTTGTATGAAAATCACCCGTGTCGATGGTTTCTACGCCCGTCAGACATTTTACAGCGCCGATGGTTTCTACCGCGCTGCCTTTTACAACGAGCTCCCCATGGCTGGGGGACGAGTGTGACGTATCGAGCCCGTTTCGATGCAATCGACCCGCAGGGGGGGACTCAACGCGGCGCCCCTGTCACGGCTACGTGAGGGGGCGATCTAGAGGGACGTACTCTTCGGAAACGAAAGAATCACAAGCGCTGCACGACAGCGCCATGGAACGACGTTGTCGACGCAAGAGATGGACGTTGTGTGGAGAGTGCCTTGGACGAACAATGAATTGGTGGTCATTGGACGAGTGATACGCAACGTGTAGCCAAGCGGCTCTCTGATGTCAAGGACTAGCGGGCTTTCTTCGCGTGTTGTGTCGCACATGAAATGGGATTGCGCAGAAGAGCGATGGAAGCAGAAGAGCGATGGAAGTGGAATGGCAAGGGAGTCCAAGTGCGACAGCGACAGGAATCGAGCAAACCTGCCGATCTATTGACACCGTTGACATCCTACTTTTTCTTCTTTTGCGCCTTCACCGTCTTGGCGTGTTTGGCCGAGTTGATGTGTGCGTTGTACTTTGTCTGCAAATTGAAGTGGGCTTTGCAAGCGAGGCACTGCCAACTGCTCTTCGTCGCAGCCTGCCATCCACCACGATGAGGGCAAGCGCACCGATGACCGACTCACCGCTCTTTCAGCGCTCTTTTTCGGCTTTGACTGGGCTGGCTTGGCCGAAGGAACAACAGCATCCACTGGTTCGACAAAGGTCGCGTCTTTGGCAAAGACGTACGTCTTGGCTCCTTGGTTCGACGGCGGCTCTCCCCGAAACGATGCCTGGTGTGTTCGCTGGGCCTCGTAGCCAGGATAGAGCGCCACGTCGAACCGATCCGTCCTACGAACAACATCTCCTACATCGTGTCCACCCCCACGATGAGTTTATACCGTTTGTGCTTCAACCCAGCTCTCACGGCCTGGCCAGCCACGTCCCATCGATTATAAAACAGCGTGTTTCGGAGAGCCACGTGGATTTCGCCCTTCGAGTCGTCCTTTGCATCCACTTAGCCGCGGTGTACAGAGACAAGTCGTGTGTGGCGTCGAAGATGGCAAAGTCCAGCGTGCCCCGCTGCACAAACGGCGCGAGTGCGGGGTGGGTCTGCCAGAACTTGAGGTTCGAGTCGGTGAAGTCGGTCATGACGTAGCGGATTTGACCGAGTGGAAACGATAGGTTCAACACGGCTTCCATGTCGTGCAGCCACTGCAAAAAGTAAAACGAAAACTTGCCGCTGCCCGTGCCCAGCTCGACAATGTAGAGCGGTTCCGTCGGATCCAGCTGAGTCAACGCGTCGCGCAAGTACGCCACAAACACTTGCACGTATCTACACGACAAATCAACTGTCCACTCTGTGCACGACCGGCGCGCGCACCTTTTCGCAATGAACGTGTTGGACGTGATGAAGTGCGGCACGATGCCCTGCGCCCACGACTCGACGCCTTGCCGGTCGTAAAACGAGCTCATGAGCTTCCACAGATGACTAGACGAAAACGGCGTAAACGTCTCGAGCTCAAATCGTTCCGGGCTGCTCGTGCGCGGCTCGTCCTCCTTGTCCGACACGGGCGGCGTCGTGAGGTCGACGTGCGGTTCCTCTTGGTTCTGCTCCAGCTGGGCCACACGGCGAGTTTCCGGGACTTCAGTCGTCAACGCCATAGTGCTCCTGTACGCCAACGACGGTGCTGCAACAGGTTGCTTCCAATGCAAGTGGCCGACGCGGCGCCGCCCGTGACGCCTCGGAAGATTAGAGTAAGATGCATTGTCGCAGGAAAACCCGTCAAACTAGATACAACCACCACCGCGACCTTTGGGCCACCGCCGAAAGGTCACACAAGATACGTTCGATAAATGCCGGTGGTGTAGAGGTCGAGTCCATCCGCCGCCGCGCATGGGTCCGACGTTCGTTTGCCTTGCAAAAGAATACGCGAGTCCATTCCGGGGCGGAATGAAGAGGGGTCCTGCGCTGTGCTTTTGGTGGCCATTGACCTGGCGACTTGGATGGCTACCCTCAGACGTGCGCGCCATCGTAGCCGCAAAGGCGATGGTAGAAGCGACTAGGATGTCGTGGTTGCACCGTAGAAAACGGATCGGCGTGTCAGCGACGTACGAGGAAACCGTGCCGAGCTTCTACACACTGCCGGCATATAAGAAAGCGAGGGCTGCCATGCCGTCGACTAGCCATTCCTCAAACCCGAGTGCAGACGGCCATGGACCCACCGCACCAGACCAGTTCGCATGTGCGCCACGACGACTCCAGCCCCATATCTGAGAAGACTCTCGGACACACACGAGGTTTCGATATGTACACAAAACGTTGGTTAACTCAGTTTTAACGTGACCAACTACACCCACAGGCTCGAACACGCGGCGCAGCGGAGATCTAAGCCCTTCTCCGTGCGAAGCAGCGACACCGAGTTGGACTCTTCGATGCCGCAGTCTGCGCAAACGGGTTGCAGATACCACGCACGCGGTGGCGCAGCTCCAGTTGACACAGCGGGTGGGGTCGGCGACATGGCCAAGGACGCGGCGGTGCCGCACGAGGTCCAGGGCCACTTTGAGTTAGGCGCCGCCGGGGCTCTTGCAGTGCGCAACCAGATGGCCACCCAATGGTCCAGAAGAGCTTCGCCGACCAACGGCCGGTTTCGACCCGACGTAGGCACTTCTCCCCATGGCTGTTGTGGTGTGGTTGGCGACAGGGAGCTGTTGCTTTGCTCCAACCCCGCAAGTTGGAGCCGTCGAGCCTGGACTTGCCGACGATGGCGCCACCGCTGCATGCCCACGACGCAACCAACCACCGCCACCACGACACTCAGGCCGACGGCGAGCCACATCCAGGCAGACATGGTTTTCGACGCCCGGGCCGACGTTGTGGTTGGAGTCGCCGTCGATTTCCGTAGGGACGCCGTCTGTCGGGGTGACGATTCCGTGGGCTTGTTCATATCGTAGGTCGCGACTGGTACCGCCACCGTCGACGCCGTTGGTTTTGGACGCGTGCGTTCTGGCGTCGACGACGGGGGACTTGTCCTTTCTGGTGCCGACGCGATGCGGGTGGTAGTGGGGGGCGTTGCGGCGGTTGTCGCCGCCGGACGAGGTGGCGACACACCGCATGCAGCCGTCTCCGATCGCAGCGGCACGCATCCGAGCACGAGAGACGGTCGGTTGGGTAGTGCTTGGCAGCACGATCCGAACTCGAGACGCGGTTGGGGGCCCGGACACACGCCAATTCTCGACGTGCCTCCGCAGCTGGGGCCATCGGGGGCCGTGAACACGCCGGCTACGCCAACCACACTGACGTCGGTGCCACCCACCGACGACGCAAGACACATTGCCGCCACGACGACGGCGGCGCAAAAGATCACGAAGGAGCTCATTGTTGGTGGACTCTCGATATATTATTACCAAATGCACGACGATGGGCTTGGTCGGTTTGAACGAAATGACTTGGGGTTTGTATGAAAATCACCCGTGTCGATGGTTTCTACGCCCGTCAGACATTTTACAGCGCCGATGGTTTCTACCGCGCTGCCTTTTACAACGAGCTCCCCATGGCTGGGGGACGAGTGTGACGTATCGAGCCCGTTTCGATGCAATCGACCCGCAGGGGGGGACTCAACGCGGCGCCCCTGTCACGGCTACGTGAGGGGGCGATCTAGAGGGACGTACTCTTCGGAAACGAAAGAATCACAAGCGCTGCACGACAGCGCCATGGAACGACGTTGTCGACGCAAGAGATGGACGTTGTGTGGAGAGTGCCTTGGACGAACAATGAATTGGTGGTCATTGGACGAGTGATACGCAACGTGTAGCCAAGCGGCTCTCTGATGTCAAGGACTAGCGGGCTTTCTTCGCGTGTTGTGTCGCACATGAAATGGGATTGCGCAGAAGAGCGATGGAAGCAGAAGAGCGATGGAAGTGGAATGGCAAGGGAGTCCAAGTGCGACAGCGACAGGAATCGAGCAAACCTGCCGATCTATTGACACCGTTGACATCCTACTTTTTCTTCTTTTGCGCCTTCACCGTCTTGGCGTGTTTGGCCGAGTTGATGTGTGCGTTGTACTTTGTCTGCAAATTGAAGTGGGCTTTGCAAGCGAGGCACTGCCAACTGCTCTTCGTCGCAGCCTGCCATCCACCACGATGAGGGCAAGCGCACCGACGACCGACTCACCGCTTTTTCAGCGCTCTTTTTCGGCTTTGACTGGGCTGGCTTGGCCGAAGGAACAACAGCATCCACTGGTTCGACAAAGGTCGCGTCTTTGGCAAAGACGTACGTCTTGGCTCCTTGGGTCGACGGCGGCTCTCCTCGAAACGATGCCGGGTGTGTTCGCTGGGCCTCGTAGCCAGGATAGAGCGCCACGTCGAACCGATCCGTCCTACGAACAACATCTCCTACATCGTGTCCACCCCCACGATGAGTTTATACCGTTTGTGCTTCAACCCAGCTCTCACGGCCTGGCCAGCCACGTCCCATCGATTATAAAACAGCGTGTTTCGGAGAGCCACGTGGATTTCGCCCTTCGAGTCGTCCTTTGTATCGACTTAGCCGCGGACGTATCAATCGAATGAACGTGGACGCACCAAGAAGTCTCTGGCCGACTTGAAGAACCGATGCAACAGGTCTTGGTTCTTCTCCACGTCGTCCTCGGTCGCCCCACCCAAATGCGGAAAGTTGAACAGAATGCGATCGAAAGTGACATTACGAATCCATTGCTCGCGCTTCAAGTTGGTCGCATCCACCCCAACGTGGATTTGTGCCTGACACGGACCTGTCGAGTCCAACTGGGGATCGAAGGAGTCTAACTTACTTGGGTGACTTTCAATCCACGAATATTCGCAGACACGTTGGGGTACTTGGCCAGGAGCTCTGCTTCGCTGTCGTACACCGTCGCGACAAACTTAGCTCCACCCTACACATCACAATCCATTGAATCGGTACAAGGCCGTCGGCGACTGCAGCAGCAGCAGCACTTTCCAGTCGGGTGGCCAGCGCCAGTGAAAACGAGAAATCTCCATCGCCCACCACCAGCACACGATGTCTGTCCGATACACCGCCGACTATCTTTGGGTTTGGGTTGGAAATGTTGGCCTGGAGGAAAGCAGACGAAGCACTCGCATCGACGTGGGCATTCAAGTGTAGCGACAATGGCACATTGTGTTTGACCTTGGCGGCGACCTTCTTCTTCACAGGCTGTACAACATCACGTGTCTTGTTGTCGGAAACCTTCTTTTTGCCCCCCTTGCGTGGATGCGTTGCCGCATTCCTCTGCTTTGTGCCATGCTTGGCCATTGTCGTCGTCCACTGCTAATGGATGGCGCTTCAAGCACAACTTTGGCGCTTCCTTGGAAAGTCAATACAAAATCATGCAGGTTTACATTCTCCAATTGGAATATGATTTTTTTAGCCAATCAAAACCTACAACATTTGCACTTTTACCCAATTATATTTCGTTTCCGTGCTTCCGCATAACATTGGAATTGCCACCCGCGCCATGACCGCGGCAGTGACCGTCGAGGTAAGCTCGCGGAGCTGCCTTCGCTCAAGTCTAACGATGGCTGTCGCTGCAGTTTGAGAATCTCGAGTTCAAGTATGCAGAGACATTCGCTGGCATCGACGTGAGCGGCGGCCCGATCCTCAGGAACATCAACATGAGGTTTCTCGCAGGGCAGCGCATTCTCTTGGTCGGCGGCAACGGCGCCGGAAAGAGCACCCTGCTCAAAATGATTGGGGGGAAGCACTTGCCCACAAGCGGTACTTGTTCTTCCACGCGACGGCGCCTGATGTAGTTGAATGTGTAGGTGGGTGTTGGGAACTCGGCCATCGCGACAGCTTTCGCGACACCACGCTCAACAACAAGCGCACCATGGCCACGTCAGAATGGGGCACGCGATCCATTACGTTTGCATCGCATTCTGCGGCGTACTCGGCCGATATTGCTGTCGAAGAGATGATGGTCAAGTTGCAGCAAACATACCCCGACCGCCGCGCCAAACTCCTCAAGTGCCTCCGCATCGACCTGTCTTGGCGTATGCACAAGGTGCTTCATTTCCTTTTCACATTCACTTGCTAACGCGATATACAGCTCTCAACGGGGCAGCGTTGCCGCGTGCAGTTGTTCTTGGCCCTCTTGCGCCCGTCGCAACTGATCGTGCTCGACGAGGTACTGGGGTGCCTCGACATCATATCTCGAGTGAACATTCTCGATTTTCTGCGCCATGAGAGCGAAGGCCCCCAAAAGGCGACGGTACGGCGGCTCGGCCCCACGTACACTCTTCTGACCTCCGTCCAAGGTGATCATGGCGTCCCATGTGTTTGACGGAATGGAACAGTGGGCGTCGCATGTCTTGTACCTCCGCGACGGACAAGTCGCGTTTTTCGACGAGCTGGCCAACGTCCCGCTAAAAGGAAACGACAGACTGTCCATCTACCACACGACGGAAGCGTGGTTGCGCGAAGAGGAAGACCAGCCGGAAAAGGAAGCGAGCGCGACGGGCGCCCTCGAAAACGCCCAGAACCGAGCTGGCGGGTTTGCCAATGGACGACTCGGCGACTATTCCCATCAAATTTAAGTCGCTGGGCGGAGGACGTGTGAGAGACTTCTGGATCGTGCCAGCCCAGCGTTGTGCGTCGAGATAACTCAGCATCCGACTCGGGCACAGTTAGAGGCGCCAAACCTGCCATGACATGAGCAATTAAGGCATTCAGTTGTCGTGATGATCGTCCTCGACAGAGCTTGGACTTTGCGCTTCTGCGGCAGGTTGTACACAAGGACAACCCCCGTTGAGAAATGCCAGCGGATTGAATCGCCTTGGAGCTCTATATTTAGAGCGTAGCCCACCTCGACGCAGGGGGGATGCCGCAAAAGCCCGTGGCATATGCCGCCGAATATGAGTTCGCCGATGAAAACGTCGTCGCGATGCGGAGGAGGCTGCACATGGACGCCATGCACCTCGAGCACATGCGAACGATGCAACCCCCGATCAAGAAAGATATCGTGCATACGATCATCAAGTCGCCCAACAAAAAGAAACAACAACTCCTCGAAGGTAAATCCGCCGTGCCAAGTACACCTAGTGGTAATGGTCTGCTTCCTAGATCGTCAGCTCTCGATCGCGACGGAGAACGAGCACCTGGTCGAGCGCATGCAGCGAATCGTGACCCGCCGCAACAAATTGTCGATCCCACCTATCTCGAAGCCATCCAACCAGCGACTCCGCCAGAAGATGCACTCGAAAATACGACAGGAAAACCGAGTGATGAAAGATCATCTTCAGAGCGTCAAAGGAACGTATAGCACGGCGCAGTGGAAGCGGGGTAAGCTCCTCGTATGCATCGCTGTCACTCACTCGACAAGCCAGACGCGGAAACGGCTGCACGCCTAGCGCAGCGAATCTCAAAAGCCCCAAAACGATCCAAGCTCCGCTTGATTGCCGCCGACGAGCCACGTCATTCCCCCAACAACCCTGCACCGCCCGAGTTTGAGTTCCTAGTCCTCAACGACATTGACGAAGAGATGCCCATGCGCACCGCAAAGGAAATCAAGGCGCAAATCCAGTCCAAGCTGCCTCTCATCCACAACAAGGCAGCTGCGTACTTGACAAAGGAGCTGACACACCCTGACCCGTTTCAAGTTACCAGGCGGCCCTTCGAATAACACTTGGATACGGGTGGTTCGCCCCGACAGTGGAGGCGGTATGTTGGCAGCAAAGATGACCCCGACCGCCACCTTGCCGACGACACATTGCACTTCCGTAGCCATTTGAAGACTCTGCCCATTGTACAGACAAAACGATGTATACCGCAATGCGTGCCGCGCTATCCCTCGACAAGACCATCGTCTGCGCTGGTCCCATGCGCGAGACCGCCTGAAACATCATCCATCCTCGATTGGCGACGGAGAATGCTGCCAATTCGCGGTTCTTGGGCCTGACGCGTGCAGTTCGCCTACGGCGCATGGCTTCACTCGACCTAAGCGTTCCATAAAGACCCTCTTCCGTAGCTGCCCCTTATCCTTAGCACTGTGTTGTCTCTAGTCGTGCGGCGATCGAGGTCGTCGCCACCTTGGTGGTGCATGCCACCAACTCTCGCTTAAACGGATGGACCAATCAATTTGGCCCATTCAAGGATAACTACTTTTGATTGGTTCAAATCCATCGAGGTGATACTCCAACGATTGCGACGGACCATGGGGAGCGAACCTGCGGCAACCATCTACCCCGAGAGCGCCACGTTGACGGCGACGTGCAACCCGTACCTGGACTTCTACCGATCCTTTCAGAAGTCCCAGCCCAAAGAGATGGCTCGGATCTTTGACCCGGACCTGGATGACGAGACCCGTGAAGAATTGTTCAACGCGGTGGACGACAATGTCGCAGCGGTGCGTCTCGCTCGATTCCATCAACGCAAGGCTCACTGCAGCGTAGAAATACTCATGGGCAATCCCGGACGAGCGCGCGCTTCGCATTATCAAGCACTACGGACCGGTACGGCACGCCGCTCACGCGTACACATCTGATACCGTGACATTAGATTGTCGAAATCGGCGCAGGCACGGGGTACTGGGGCCGATTGCTGCAACTTCGTGGTGTCGACATCAAATGTTTTGATTTGCATGTTCCTGGAGACGAGAGCGCGAACGGTGCGGACAGCGACGACGCCTCCGACGAAGAACGGGATGTCGACGATAGTCCGCGCATGACGTGGCTGGAGGTTGAGCAAGGCACGCCAGAGGTGCGAACCACAAACGTTTAGCCAAACGACTGAGACTGCATTCGCGCCAGGTCCTCACGAAGCACAAAAATCGGACTCTGCTCTTGTGCTACCCCGACGACTACGAAGACAGTGACGAGTCGATGGCCGAAGCATGCCTCAACTACTACACTGGCGAATACGTGATTCACATCGGCGAGTTGTTTGGCCACACGTTGTGTTTGCCCGAGCCGTGGTAAGCCCCGATCTTCATTTCGTGGATCACGTCATATACATTCTGTGTAGGGGCCGCACGTCGTCGCCCGAGTTCCAGACGCGACTGGCAGCCGTCTTTCACAAGATTCTGCAGGTGCCGCTCCACTCGTGGCATTCCAGCGTCGACACGCTGACGGTGTGGAAGCGCACCAAGACATGCATCGTCGATGGTACACACTCGAACGGGGTCGTCATATCCTAATATCGACGATGTAGATGGCATGTACGCTTTCATTCCGGCCGACGAACAGCTCAACATGGTGATGGCCAGCCCGAGTACGGAGCATCTCCTGCACGACGCACCGACCAAA